ATTTTAACTATAAAATAGGATGGTTGAAAGAAACCAGATGTTCCTTTAACAAAAAAAAAAATTAAAGCAGCAGATCCATTAAAAAATCCTGGATTTTATACAGCAATGATAAAGAAAGCACACACAATTTCAGAGAAATCTAATGATTCCAAGAGTCTAGATCTTTCAGAAATCCTATTCTCATTATTCTCCTCTTCATTTAAATCATAGCATATATCATGACTATTTACAGGAAGAAGCAAGCAGAGAAAAGTAAGGAAATAATGGCAAAAGTATCATTTTCAAGTTATTTTTATCTCATTCCCATGTCATTTAAATTCTGTCAAACTCCTTCACTCCAACACATCTTCCAGTTCTCTGTGTATTATCGTAATTACAACCAATACCCATAGCAAAACATTATTTAATTCTCTGGAGTAAATACTACCCACACTTTATGTTAAGTGAAGAGTCTGATTGCCAGTTAATAGAGATCCCCAGGAACCCAAGAAAGCTGAGTTATTAGCCCAATTCCTTGAAGTCTCCATGCTGATTGAAATCACAATCTCTGATCACTATCCGTATCATCATGCAGATATTCCACAAAAATACCAAAAAATTTGTGCATTATCCAATGCAGTAGGTGGTTACAAAGTCGCTTCCTTTTTATTAGGCCCTAATATTGGCATTCTGACCTTCCTTCCCATGTTATATATGACCAATATGTAAGATCTAAGGAGGAAAAAAGTGTATGTCAGGTTAAGAGATGTAAAAACTCAAACATCAATGAATTAATATCATTACAATGAAAAGTTCACAATAGAAAAGAATGTTTCCAGGCCCCAGTTGATAGTTCAAGGTGAGAATATTCTTAAGCTAAAAAGAAACTCTCTCTACTACAACTAAACATTCAGATGTCCATGGAGATCATTATAATGATATTCAACCTATGGCATCATAGTATCTATGAATACATTTTACTTTTCCACTGTAATATAATTCATCTACCATCATCATCATCATCACCACTAACATTTATATAGCATTTACTATGTGCCACGCAGTGTGCTAAGCACTTCATAAGTTTTATCTCATTTGATTCTCACAATAACCCTGGAAGTTAAGGATTATTATTGTTGTTATTATTATTATTATTATTATTATTATTTTCTATGTATCAAAACATATATTTCTCCTGGTTGGATGAATTCTCCTAAGTAGGTGGGGGAAATTCCAATAAAGCTAAACCACTGGGCAGAGTTACCATACATGACAGCACACGCTTTCCCTTATGAATAAGGAAGTATTTTTTAAATGTATATGAAGCCACAGACCATCAAAAAATGTTCTGTTCCTCTCAGGTTAATTGTCATATCCTGTGCACAAACTGTCACTGAAAAGCCACCTGGAGAATCTGATTTTCATTATATCAACTTTGAGGAAAGAAGTATTCTCTTCTTTACTGAATAGGAAATTAAGGCCCCAAACAGAAATAACATTTTTGAAAGACATAGGATCCCTGCAGAAGACAGTGTCATGAAGAAAATCTTTCCTAATATAACTGTAGCTTTCAAGAGAAAGAAGACACATTCAGGGCTGAGCCATTGTCCTGATTTCATCTGATACGTCAATTTTGTTGTTCCCTTAAGCACCCCTCCTCCTGAAAATGAGACCTCTCCCTTCAGATACAAAGCCATCCTCAAGTTGGAAGTTTCTGCAGAGTACAGATAAAATGTTATTCTTTTATGTGAATAGAACTTACAGGGAAAATTGAAAGGATTTGAAACATATCTTAAAAGCAGTGTTAAGGCATTACATACAAATACACACTATCCACTTAATCCTGTAGTAACTATCTTTTTATTTCATAGGAGGTAGGGAATTTAAGTTTCTTGGGAGAGAAAGGGAGGTGATCCTCACACAAATAACAATCATTCCCAACCATAGATACCAATAATGAAGAAGTCAACTTTGCTACCTATACCAAAATATGGTCTTGCTCTGGTTTCTTTTGAGAAAAAAAAATTAATTTTGAAGAATAGAGTTTCTGTAAGATTTTAGCTAAAGTCAAGACTCCCTTCTTTCATACATACTGATGATTCTATGAGAACCAATTGGTAAAGAGAAAGAACTTTGGGAATATTGGGAGCTTGAGTGGCTTAGATGGATGAAGGTGGGATGGGGGTAGGTGAGTAGGAGAATTTATAGGTCATGGATGATCAGCTGAAGCTAGAGGTTGCCAAATATCCATCACAGAAAATAATAATGATAAGGATAATAACAACCCAAAACTTCAATAGTATTTAAATCAACAAAATAAAAACATTTATATATTCTTTTAAACATATACCTATATAAAACAAAGCAAAATTCTGCTTTACATACATAATTTCATTTATATAATGCACTTGTCACCTAAAATGTGAAGTCAGGAGAAAAAGTGAATGTGATGTATTTTAGCCTTCCCAACTTGGCAGCTCTGTATATCTCCTCAGAGATTATCTGAACACTGGGAAAGCAGCACAGCTCTAGTGCAACATGAAACTGCCAGGAGGTCCACCTCATTACCAGAAATTCAGAGGACCATTTAGATGAGGGTCATGCTCCCTATCACCACCACTGCCACAGAGCAGGACAAGATGCTGAAGCCAATTTAATCCCCTGCCTACCAACACACCTTTCTTACTCAGAAGTGTATTTTGACTGAGTAAAAGGAAGGGAGATATAAATGGTATAGACAGTGTAGTTGCCTGCCAACGCCTTATGATAAAGTCTTGCCTTTAAAGAGAAAGAAAAAGCATGGCTGGGTCAACCACATGGTCTCTGAAATGTGCTTTACTTAGCAAAGCCTAGAGAAGCAAGGATGCAGTAGCCCGGAGGATGGAAGGTGCAGAAATACGTGACCAAGGTGATGAGAAGTACCAGGCTCACTGTGCCTTTAAGGGGCACAGCTAGGAGTTTCAGTGGCGCTGTCCGAGGTACCAGCTATGACTGTGGGCATGCTTACCACATGGTGGTTGGGTGCCTTTGTCTATTGAGTGAAAATGAGAAGGAGCCTGTCGGAGTAAACACACCGTAAGAGAAGAGGTACAGATAGCAGGGCAGATCCTCCTGACCTGTGAATATTTTAGATAACTGTACAGGTGGAAGAGTAGTAACGCTCTGGTCCTTGGGATGCTTGCGCTGGTTAAACAGGGAGGGGCTAACTGCATAATAAGGCTGCACCCACAGAGCCCAACACAAAGACAGCTGAATATGGTGTCAAGAAGAGGGAGGAGGGGTGGGGCAAGGGAATGTAGGGGATTCTCAGGGCTCTGAGCCCCCAACAGGGGACCAACATGTTAAACTCAACTAGGATTACCATCCCCCAGTGTGTGTGTGTGTGTGTGTGTGTGTGTGTGTGTGTGTGTGTGTGTGTGTGTTCTCCTGCTTTGGGGAATGGGGCAGGGCGGGTAGGGAGAAGCCCAAACGGGGTTGGTGGTGGGTGGGTTGGAGCAGCAGGAAGAATATCTGCTTCGAGATGCTCCTCTCTAATGAAGGGTGCTGTCAAGAAGTGCCACACACTAGCTAACAGCGCTGTTGGAGTGTGGAGAGAAGAGGGATCGAGGGAAGAAAGAAGGGGGTGGTGGCAGAGCAAGGAGCACAGCAGAGAGAAAGGAGAAAGAAACCCAAGAGCTGGTGGAGGAGATGCGGAAGCCTGAGGGAAATCTGCCTCGTGTCTGGCAGATACCGGGGGCCCAATGCAACCAACAGCTGTCCTGCTGATGCACACCTGCCAAGGAGCGGGAGGGGGTGAGGGGGGAAGGAGACTGAAGGAGGGGCCTCGTTGCAGATTAGTGCCTCTTGGTGCGCAATCTCGCCAGTAAACCAAGCATACATGTCTAGTGTTTCCAAGCCTACTCCCCGTTTAACACCAAACCATTCGTTTGCTTTCTATTTACAGGGCTTTCTGTGCCCTAAAACCCCGGCGGTGGCACCTAATTCTTGAGGAGGAGTAAGACAATAAGGTGTCTAATCAACAGCAAGCATTTGGTGCATTTGACTGAACCTGCAAAGCCTCTTCCTTTTGCCTGACGCTGCTGCTGCTGCTGCCTCCGCCTCCGCCCCCCACCCCCTTTTATGGCGTGTAGTGCATTAGGAGCACTAGAAGATTGATAACACACCTGTTTTCCTAACTGCTCAATACAAGCACGCCCAATTTATCTCTAGGGACCCGTTAAGAAGCCGAACTGTGTCAACAGTTAAAGGGGAGAAAGGGACTCAGAAACTCGGACTCAGAAAGAAAAGCGAGGCTGTCTGAGCTTCCCCCATTGAACAGCTGGAACTTCCAACTTCCAGGTGCTTTGGGGCGGTGGCCCGTCACCTTCTCAGGAGGACACTCCATTTAACAGCTGACCTGAAATAGTCCCCGGCAAACTGTTTGGACCCTGGTGGGAAGGGGCTTTATTCATTCATTTATTTATTTATTTTTGTTTGCTCCTTGATTTCGGGTACTGAGCTTTCGGGACTTAGAACCTGACAGATCCAATAATCCATGGCCCTCATTTCCCAATAGGCAGAAGCAGCACTGGCGTCTTCCAAACTCGTTTCAGGGAGAGCTGGTGGAGCAGTGGGGAGAGAAGGGAACTAATTTCTATCTAAGAGTGAGATTCTCAGCAACAAAACCTGCAAAGAGTGAACTGCAAGAAGGGAATGGGAGTGGGAGGGTGTGAAAATCAGACAAAGCCTGAAAAACTTGGCACACACATCAGGCTCCCTATTCCGAGAGTTTGTTGGCTATCCATATGGGGGGGGGGGGTCAAAAACCAAAAGTCTTACCTTGAAAAACACTAGTGCACACGCTGGTCTCTACCACATCAAAATAGCTCCTTAAACACACCGAAGTGAAGGGCGCACTTTAGAAAAGGTGCAAATTGAAATCAGAATGGGGAAAAAAATAATCCCATCCATGAATATTGTTTTTCCTCACGAGGGGAAATGAAAAGAGGAAGAGAAAGGGTAGGGTGCGGGAGAAAGGATATGGCCAATCGATGAGCTTCTTGGCATATTTCCTGACAATGTTATCTTCTCCGAAGATAAACAGGGATCTGTTGACGGTGAAACAGTTCTGCCTGACCGGAATGGGGTTGTATAAAGCCATAGTCCTGGCCCTCTGGGCTTTGGATTGCTTGTAGGCGGCCGCTGGCCCCGCGGACTGCATTGGTGTTCCTTGCCGGTTCCTGCTCTGCTCCGAATCTCCATCTCCGGATCCTGGCCTGCCAACCACAGCCTCCCCAAATCGAGCCATCCTGGAAGTTTAAACAAACAAAACACACACAAAGGTGATCCGAGCCGAACGCCCCACACCTAGCGACAAGCAAAGACACACAGACAGAGGCGGCGAGAAACAGAGGCACCGGAATGGAGAGTCAGCGACAGCAGCCGCTGAGAACCAGAGGCAGCAGCTGGCGGCAGCACCACCGCTCTGGACCGTTCGGTCTAAAGGCGACTGCTGTGAAGCTCCATCCCTCAGGAAGAGAAGGGAAGGAGGGAGAAAAGGAAAGGGGCAATGTCTTTTCCTTCAAAGAGTCAGGGCATGTTGGTGCTTGGGACCAAGGGGTGATGCGGTGGGATTGGTTTGCCCTTCAAACATCGCTCTTCTGGAGACACACACACACACACACACACACACACACACACACACACACACACACACACACACCAGTTCAGAGAGACAGGCTGTCACTGGCCCCAGTCCGTAGATAACAGTTTGGTGGTTGACTGGTTGGGGGGAGGAAGAATGAAAAATTAAGGAAGAAAAAAAAAACTTTGAAAAGGATGCTGAACTGGGAACGGTGAGTCTTTTTCAAGCTTTGTCCCTGAAAGGCAGTTTAAGGAATCAACCCTAAATTCCACAGGGACAGCCTTGGGTCTTTAAATCTGCCAGTACAGACGCAAACCAGTGGAGGGATGAGAGGGAAAACGGAATGGATAAATCAAGGTTCCTTCTTGCTGTCACCAAAATCTGCAACTCCTACCCCCCCGGGAAAAAAAAAAAAAGGAGCTGCTCCCTCGGGGGGGAAATCACTTCCCGATAGTCCTCTTGACTTAAAAGTTAAGCTTGGAGAAAGCAAAGGCGGTCCCCAAGTCCTTGCTGGCGCCCGGCTCAATGCCACCGATCAGCAGGCAGCCCAAATGCTCGTCTGCACCTCCTCTGGGGGCTAGGACTCCGGCGAGGAAACAGGTTGCTGCGTTCAGGCTGGCTTCAGCCCGACGCGGGAGGGGTCCAAGGACTGAACTTCCTCCCGAACGACTCAATCTTCCCCTGCAACCTAAACATCCTCTCTCCAGGGAGAGGAGGAGGAGACAGGAAAGGGGAGAAAAGGAGAAGGAGAGGGTGTAAGGAGGCTGGGAGAGCGAGGGGAGGGGGAGAGAGAGGAGAGGGGAAGAGCAAGAAGTGGGTGGGTGAGGGGAGCTCAGCAGTTCACCACTCACACGCAGACCTGGAGAGAATGAGGATGGGGGTAGGAGGACGTGGAGAAGAGTGGGCGGGGTATAATCAGGAAGAATCTCGGGCAATAATGGTTGTGCGGGTTTGGGATGGGGGGGGTGCTGTTCTGTGGGGTTTTTTTCCTACTAAAGCAAAACGGCAGTATGCAGTCTTCGTAGCCCTTCTTAGGCAAAAATCTCCCTGAAGGATACTCCAAGAAGAGAACCCGCACAGCTGTCAGCACTGTGGTGGCTCTGCTAGTGGCCGGGGCTGGGGGCGCACAAGCACGCGCGTTTCCCTCTCCCAAAAGATTTCAACAAGCTAGCGCAGAGGCTTGGAGCCAAGTTCTTGGGGAGCCTCGGGAGCAAGGAGCTGTGCACATATCGCCCCCTACCTCTCCGTTCTTCACTCCCCAGCCCTGCTTTCGCGGCTCCAGATCTCTTCCCTCTCTTTGCTGAGCCTCAGTCGGAAACCCCAGAGCATCTCCTCCGCCCCTCGCAGGCTAGTCTAATGAATGCTTAGGTTTCTCCACGGAAGGGTCTCCCTAACCGGAAGTCTACAAGTGAGGTGTTCTCTTGGGGAGGAGACAGATGAGAGGAGGAAGGACCTCGTGAGAACGTATCCTCTCAGATACTTGAGACAGCATCTGACGGAAACTTCTGCCTCTCCAACTCGGGACTCTCAGGGGCAGTCTCCAGGAGACTAGCCTGCCCCCCCCCCCGAGAGATAAGTTTGCATCTAATCATCCAGCGGGTACCCCTGAAGAGTTCTTGGCCTCAGCTTCCTCTGCTCTGAAGTTACCTGGGAATTTGATGAGGGTCTTTGGGGAAACCGATCATTTCTATATTTCTACCTCTTGAAGAGTGTCTCACGCCCTATATCCTTCAATCCTTCCCAAGTCATCTCGGTTGCCTTTTTCAACTACTCCCTTTTAGAAGGGAGAAATAAAATAGAACAGGTAGCCAGGTGGCAGAGGTAAGGTAGAAAAAAAGGCAGACATCTCCCCGCCTGCGCTTGAGAATGGTTGTTATCTCCGGCCCACTTTCCACCTAATATGGCAGGTACCCCAGGTTGGAGTTCTATACTCGTCCATACACATCACTCTCGGGGAATACCAGGACTCTGAAGGGTGGAGGAAGCCCCACAGAAAAGCCCAGGCACTGGGCAGTAGCGTACCCATAAAATCAAGAGTAAGTCGAGGTAACAGGAGAGGGCTGCCCTGGCCTAGCTGCTTTATCTTCAGGCTTCTTGGAGCTCTCTGATGTCACCTCTCCTGTGGACAGATGTCAGCACCTGCTAGCCCTCTTCCATCTGCTCTCCACTTCACGAAGACTTTTCATCTCTGTTTCTTCCGGCTTTGTCGAAGGTTGCCACTTCCTTTTCTAAATCACCCAAACACTGTAGCATTTGTAACAGGAGGGCTATAAAATGAGGGTGTTGGGGGAAAGTATAGTTATGTCTATGGCTTTAAATCCTAATGGCCAGAAAGGCCATAAGTGAAGGAAACACAAGACACCAGTGTGCCTTTGAAATTGTGTCTTCTGTGTGTTCTACGTGTGTGCAAGGTAAGGGAATGTGTATGTGAAGGAATAATAGGAAATGCATTTTATTGATTCCATCATGGAACAGTGTGTATATGTATATATTATACATATACATGTATATGAGTATAATACATGTGTATGTGTGTGAGCATATGTGCATGCATATATGTATTATAGGAGCACACGTGTGTGTATGTTAGTGCATGCCTTTACGTGTGTATACATATTGTACAAGAGTACATATACATATGTATATGGATATGAACACTTGTATGCATTGCATTGTTTCATCATGTACACATATATGTGTGGCTATTGCAGAAGGCTTAGAAATCTGCAGGCATGAGCTTAACATTCCCATCGCTGATAACCATATCTTAGACATAAAATTATTGACCTCATGATTAAGTGAAATTCACTTCAGACCAGGTTGCTGTACAAAGAGAGACAGCTGCAATCAGTCCTTTCATTTCACTCCCTCTATCCCTTCCTGCTTTACAAAGGGAGGTTCCTCTGCCCTTTTACCAAGGCAGCAGCAAGCATGAAAGAATGCAGTCTGGTGTTTTCTAGGGCCCCATCAACATGCTGCCTGCTTACTAGTAACAAATGACTTCTATAGCCATCCTAGTATCATTATGGCAGAATTGAAACCACATTGATTATGAAATCAGATGACCAAGGTTCAAATTCTAGTTCAGCTACTTATTACCTGTGTGACCCTGGTCAAGTCACTTTCCCTAATTGGGACTCACTTTCTTCAACTGTAAAATGAGGGGGGCAGGGTTGAACTAGATGAACTCAATAGTCACTTCGATCTCTAACTCCATGAGGGTCATAGATCTGGAAAATTTTTGAGAAGCTCTTTAGTTATTTCCCTTGTGCTCCAACAGAAACACACCCCAGAGAGGGAATAAATTATCTTCTTAAATATGCCCAACAGATCAAATTCTGACAAATCTCTGCCTAGAATGTTTAACAATCCTAACTCTCAGGAAATGTTTCCTTATATCTATCCCAAGTCCCATATGCTACAACTTTGCAATTGATCTTATGTCCCTTCCTCATTAGAGAAGCCTCTGATCATTCTCTAATTTGATTTCAAATACTTCAACTTAATTTTCACACTCATGTCTTCTCTTCTCCCTAAATAATTCTAAATGTGTCCATCAATCAAACACTTGTGAGCCAAGTCATAGAATCATAAATTCAGACCTGGACAGGGCCTTGTAGTCCTTCTAGTCAAACTTCCTCATTTAACAATTGAGGAAACTGAGGCTAGAGTAAGTTGTCTCTCACTCAAGATCACACAGGTAGAAAGGGCAGTACACGTCCTCTGGATTCCAAATCAGGTCTATTCCACTGTACCATAAACATTCCCTCAGTCAAACATTAAGTGCCTACTGTGTGTAGAGCTTACTTTTAGATACTTTGACCTTCTTAAGGTGGTGCTTGGAAGAAGAAGGACTCTCTACTACCTCCTCTTGATATTAGCCAGAGCAGGAATGCAAGCTTAAGTCTCTTCCCTCTCCAGCACAAAGAGTATAAGTAACAGTCTGACATTTCTATAGTACCCATGGGAGTAAAGGCTATCTTGGGTAAAGAGGCATGGTTTTCACATTCTTTTTCCTATCTGGGGACCTCCAACTAGAGCATGATGTGATTCTTCAACCTTATCTGTTTAGAGAAATGGGTTTTTCCAATGTGTTTTTATTGGGTTAGGGACCTCTGATGGAGATGACCCAGTGAGATACGGGAGCTCAGTGGGATTAGAGCTTCTCTGAAACTATGGGAGGGATTGGGAATAGAATCTCTGAAAGACACTAGTCAACATTTTATAAGTTAAGGGGCAATCTGGGATAAACTGGTGTATAAACAAGTTGGAATAAGGACAACCCTGCAAAGAAGGAAAGAGGCGTGGGTGCGTCTGTTGGGGGGAGGAGACACAGGCTTCTTCCTAGAGTGTGTGACAACCCCAGCTGGCTGAAGTTCAGCTGCAGAAAGGAACTAGGCAAGAAGTGCACTGTGAAGTTCTCCAGCCTAGTGTTAAGAAGGGGTTGGGGCTAAAGGAAAGCACTGCTTCAAATTCACTCACTGCCTCTTATATTCCTTCCCACCTCCCCCAATGTTATTACCACTCCTTAAATCCTGCTGCCATATCAGAAATAATCATTATGATGATGTTAGCTAGCATTTGTATAGTGCTCTAAAGACTGCAAGGTACTTTACAACATGATCTTATTTTATCCTCACAACAGCCTTGGGAGGTAGGTGGTAT